GTCGGGAAAGGTCTGCCTCCGCCTGTCCAGGGCCCCGGCCTCAGTGCAGTGGAGCAGGGGCCGGTGCTCAGGGGCGGGTACTCAGGGGCCTCCCTCTTCAGTCCGCTGCTTGGGGCCAACACAGAGTCTGCAGAGAGGAACACCATGAGACTGAGACCATGTGATGTACGGAAATATTCACACACAAAAAAATAAACGATTTACTGTGTGTGTGTGTGTGTGTGTGTGTAGACCTGTGCCTGTGCTTTTGACCACAGAGCTGCTTCTTGTCTGGACAGAGCGGGGTCCAGGGGCCTCCCACGGTCGCACACTGTGGCCGTACTGAGGGGCCTGTAGGCGGGACAGGGGCCCACACACACAGGAGCCCGGGCCCCTGCACTGCTGCAGACACACACAACACACTCCACGTCACACACACAACTGCTTTTGTGGCATTGCAGCCGCTTTGTATATTTTGCATGCTCCTTGTGTCTCTTACTACTGTCCTGGAGGGCCGGGGTCAGACAAGAGGGGCGGTGTGAGACAGGAGGGGCGGGGTCAGACAGGAGGGGCGGGGTCAGACAGGAGGGGCGGGGTCAGACAGGAGGGGCGGTGTGAGACAGGAGGGGCGGGGTCAATGTAACGTGTGACAAACATTAGCATTGTCACCTGTACAGAGCAGACAAAAGATTACCTGCAGATGAGGGGCAGTCCTGTCCCGGTCTCTGTCCCGCCTGGTCCTCTTCAGCAGGGGACGTGAGGGGACAGGGCTCTGGTCAGTGGACAGCTGAAGCTCCCTGGACTCTGGCTTACTGCTAACACACACACACACACACACACCCTCACACACATACAGTGGTAAACTTGGTGGTGTCGGCTGCTTTTCTTCAGCAGGGACAGGGAAGAGTGTCAGAGTGAATGAGGGTGGATGGAAAGATATTTATAAGTGTGAGCTGCAGCCCCGAACACATACAGTATATACACATACACACACACGCACACACGCTACTTGTACACACATAGACACACACATCCACACAAATACATACACCCACATGAATACGAATACACACACACATACATGATTTGCCATACAGATAAAGTGGCCCCTGACCTGAGGATGTGCCATACAGATAAAGTGGCCCCTGACTCTGACCTGAGGATGTGCCATACAGATAAAGTGGCCCCTGACCTGAGGATGTGCCATACAGATAAAGTGGCCCCTGACCTGAGGATGTGCCATACAGATAAAGTGGCCCCTGACCTGAGGATGTGCCAAACAGATAAAGTGGCCCCTGACTCTGACCTGAGGATGTGTTGCACGCTGACCAGGCCGGGGGCTGTGGACGCGCGGCTGTGGAGGACCGTGATGCTGCTCTGGACCCAGACCCAGCCTCCTCCTCGGACCAGGAGCCTGTAGTACCGGCTGGTCACCTGGCCCTTCAGGAGCACTGAGGAGCACAGGTACAGACTGTCAGAGGAGCACAGGGACAGACTGTCAGACGAGCACAGGTACAGAGGGACATAGGGACAGAGACAGACTGTCAGACAAACACAAGGACATACTGTGACAGGAGCACAGGGACATTCTGTCAGATGAACAGAGGTACAGAGGAGCACAGGGACAGAGGGACAGACTGTGGGGGGGATGAAGGGGAGAAAGAGGAGGAAGATGAGATGGGGGAGAGGAGGGTCAGGAGCAGGATGAGGGGGAGGAGGATAAGAATGATATTGACCCCTTGCATGTGACGTCCCGGCCACGCCCACTCTCCATGACAGACGGCAGAAGTCTAACTGCGAGTCTACAGACACCTGACCAAAACAACCTGTTTCAGCGCGTTACAACCAAAACTGTGACATTTTGCAGTGCGGTTGATTATACTAACAGGCAAGGACATAAGCTTTTTTATCTGATACCTGCTCGTCATGAAGACTGAAGATGACGATGACCAGCGGCAATCAACCAAAAGGACTGGGACCATCCAAGTACTCCCTAATATGCAGTGAACACTTTTACAAGATAAAGCAATCACAAGTTTGTATTTATTTTATTTCCATTAATTTGGAGGACAATGACACACGTCAGACGTGTCTCTTACTACTGTCCTGTATGTGCGCTGCAACATTTTTATCTTTTAAGTCAATTGCATGTTTCACTATTTTCCTCTCCGTCAGTACGTATCATGTTTGGCTGTAGACAGAAAAGCCACAGAAAAGTGGACTATTGCTAATGCTACCAGCAAAATGTACATGTAAATCTGCTCCAGTGTGAGGGGATGCATTGTTAACGATAATGATAAAGATCATGTAGGGTGAATTCGGGCAAAAATAGACATTTTATTTAATTGATAAAATTGACTGGGGGGAGAAGGTACGAGTCAACATCCAGTTAGGCGATCCTTAACTTCTCCAAATACCACTCTTTGTGAGCCCTGACCTGATGTCCTACTTCCACCTATAACGTAATCAAACATGTGCTTGGAGCAGCCACTTCTCGATTTAAGAGAGGAAGCTCCGTTTTTAAGAGTTGTGTCCGTTTTGCTCTCGCAGCAATGCTAGTTTCCAATACTTCCGCCGTAAGCTCATTCACAATCACGTGACTGGATGACGTTGATGCATCTGGTCAATAGAGGAGGAGAAAAAGGAGAAGTAAGAGACACACACACATACAGAGTGGGATGATGGGGAAGAGGAGGATGAGGAAAAGAAGGGATAGGAAAAAGAAGGGGATGGAGGTGAGGTGGTAGATGAGGAGGAGGAGGAGGGGGAAATGGAAGAGGAACATTTCTGGAGTGAAAACATACAGAGCTGGTGGGCGTGGCTCAGGGGCAGGACATCCTCCAGGTGCACCAGCTCATAGAGACTCCGGTCCAACAGCTCCTGAGGGTGGAACCCGGTGAGCACCGACACCCTGAGGGCGAGGGCTCGTTTAGTCCAGTTATACCAAGACTGAAACACCAGCGGAGTGTATGAGTCCAGTGGAGATGGAGAGAGAGTGTGTGTGTGTGTGTGTGTGTGTGTGTGCGTGTGTACATGTGTGTGTATGTATTTGTGTGTGTACATGTGTGTGTATGAACCTTGAGTCCAAGAACAGCAGTCTAAAGTCCAGTGTTGCTCTGAACATGAACATGTTTGTGTGCAGAGGGATCTCTGTGACTGCACTTGGAGGCAGGGTGTGTCCGACAGCCAAGAGCGCCACCCCTCTGGCCCCGCCCCCAAACAGGGGCCTGTCCCGGGTACAGCTACAAGCCTTCAAGTACCCGCTGCAGTGGATCACCTGTGACACAAGCACATGGCACGTCAGCCATCTTGAGTTAGAGTCTGTGTGAGTACAAGATTCAAGAATGTATTTGCCGTTTGCAGTAAAACCACACAGGAAAAACTGTGCAAAATAAACACAGTGTGCCCCTTACGGAGCAGATACAGACCAGAGCTCTTATACAAACATCTGTGGGCGGTTATCCCTCTCTCAGCTCAGGTCGTTTAACAGAGCTCCTGGAGGTGAGGGTTCTGCGCAGTATCTTTGCTGTTCCTAAACTGCACATTTCTGCAGTTTCTGAGGTTGTTCCAGAGATCTGCTGTGACCTCCTCCAGCAGCAAAGGCACTGCACAGACCCTCTACAGCTCCTCTCACTGTCTCAGGCTCAGGGCCTGCTCCTGTACCAGCCCTGATGGTGCCTCTGTCCTGTACCAGCCCTGATGGTGCCTCTGTCCTGTACCAGCCCTGATGGTGCCTCTGTCCTGTACCAGCCCTGATGGTCCTCTGTCCTGTACCAGCCCTGATGGTGCCTCTGTCCTGTAACAGCCCTGATGGTGCCTCTGTCCTGTACCAGCCCTGATGGTCCTCTGTCCTGTACCAGCCCTGATGGTGCCTTTGTCCTGTATCAGCCCTGATGGTGCCTCTGTCCTGTACCAGCCCTGATGGTCCTCTGTCCTGTACCAGCCCTGATGGTGCCTTTGTCCTGTATCAGCCCTGATGGTGCCTCTGTCCTGTACCAGCCCTGATGGTCCTCTGTCCTGTACCAGCCCTGATGGTGCCTTTGTCCTGTATCAGCCCTGATGGTGCCTCTGTCCTGTACCAGCCCTGATGGTCCTCTGTCCTGTACCAGCCCTGATGGTGCCTCTGTCCTGTACCAGCCCTGATGGTGCCTCTGTCCTGTACCAGCCCTGATGGTGCCTTTGTCCTGTATCAGCCCTGATGGTGCCTCTGTCCTGTATCAGCCCTTTGTAGACATTAGCTTCTGTATCAGCCACTTCTGCTATGCTCCGGTGGGACATGCCGTGTAGGGGCTTGTTGTCCCATGAGGAGCCTCCTCCAGCACCTCCTCATGTAGGGGCTTGTCCTCACTTGATGGGCCTCCTCCAGCACCTCCTCCAGCACCTCCTCCAGCACTTCCTCCAGCACCTCCTCATGTAGGTGTTTGTCCTCACACGATGGGCTCTCCTCCCGCACCTCCTCATCTCGCCACTGCCTGAGACATTCACTGAGTGGATTTGGGATGGAACCCACCATGCATGGTGAGGAGTTTTCGAGTTTTTACATCTTTGTGTGAATCTCTCCCTTTGGCCCCTGATTCCTCCTGCAGGGTCAGATCACTGGGCGTAAATGTTGAATGTTCTTGCCTTTGAGTCGGCGTCTTCGGACTTACTCTCTGGGAGTATAGAAAAACATTATTCTTTTCACCCTCTGCCGGCTGTTATCCCTTTAAGCTTTCTGAGCATCATGCCTTTTCACTCATATGCCTAGTATGAGTATTTTATTATTGGTGGTGGTCAAAGGGGTCGATGGCACGTATGCTTTCGCCCCAAGGAATGCATTATTATTATTCTCACAAACTGATCAGTTGATTCTGTGTCTATTGACTGTTATATCAAACATTTTGGTGAAAAGTATATTATAAATATTGAACATAAATGCCTCTTTAAAGCTGATGGCGTTTACACCGACCTTGTACCCAGCACACGTCAGACCGGCATTCCTCTTTGCCAGGACACACTTCATCCGCAAGAAGAAGGAGCGCTCCATTTCAAACTCTGCAGAGAAAGTGAAGAACAAACCCCATTAAAAACAGTCTCTGGAGGAAGCAGCGCCCTCTCCGAGTCACCGAGAACCATCCACTTCACCACAGGCATGTTGTGGTCCTTTCATTTGAATAAACTCACTGTATTCTGTTCTCAGTTTCTTGTTGAAAAACCTACCCATGCTTTAGACTTTTCCACCAATTCTGTTCAATTACATTTATTTAAAGCTAGGTTAGGTGATGATGATAGATTTGGAACATCTATTTTCTCAGAGTTTGAAATCACTCAGAACCTACCAAGACACGGCGGTCTTCCTAAACCGGCCAAACAAGGTGAGGACTGGTCAGAGCTGCACCAAAGTCCATATATGATCCTGACCTGTCCACAGCTCAAAATATCATTCACTGAACACATCTGGCCTTATGGAAGAGCGGGGAGCAGAAAGAAACACATAAGAAGTTGTTTTGCCGTTTTCCAGAAGCCACGTGAGAGATACCACAAACATGAGAGAGAAGGAGCAGGGGTCAGACCAGACCAAAATGTTATTTTTTGGCCAAAATGCAATAAATTGTACGGTATCTCTCTGGCGTGATAGAAACGTTAACCTTACTATCAAACATGGGGGTGGTAGCATCATGCTCTGGGCGGGATTCTCTTCAGCAGGGACAGGAAGCTGGTTAGAGAGATGGGAAGATGGAACCAAATACTTTTCATGGCGATCTTGGATGAAAAGTTGTTTGAGTGAGAAAATACATAAAACAAACAGGGGTTGTGTGTGTGTGTGTTTGGTACGTGTGTGTGTGTGTGGTACCTGAACGCGGCGGCTGAAGGAGAACAGCTCCCATCTCCTCGTGGTCTGAGGGGTGGATGTACTCGAAGATACTGTTCCCTGTCATCTCCACCTGAGGATACACACACGTACACAATCGCACACACACACATACAGAGACACACGCACACACAGACACACAGATGTACAGAGACACACGCACACACACACGTACACAGTCGCACACACGCGCATTCACACATGCACACATACACACACACACATATATAGACACACACAATCATAAACACACGCACACACACAAAACACGCATACACAGATAGACACACATATACACACGCAAACACGCACAGACACAGACAGACAGACAGACGCACACACACATGCACACAAAACACACATACAGACACAGATAGACACACATCCATACACACACACAACACACATACAGACACAGATTGACACACATGTATACACACACAAAACACACATACACCCACACACATACACACGCACACACGTAAAGACACAGGCAGGCACACACACACAAAACACACATACATACACAGTTGGAGAAACACATACACACGTGCAGACACAAATACACACACACACGTGCACACAAAACACACATAGAGACACATATGGACACACATAAATACACGCACACACGTGCAGACACAGATAGACACACACACACAAAACACACACAGATAAACACACACACATGCACACAAATCACACATACAGACAGACACACACACACACACACACATACACGTTTTTGTTACCTGGTGGGTCCCTTTGACAGGGCCGTTCAGAATGGGACCCATAGACATAATCTTTTTTTACTGGGACTACTTTAAGTAATACAAAACAGTCAATAGAAACCAAACAACTATTTTAAAGGAATTTTATTTTAGATTTTGTTTTCGAATTGCAGTGATTCTATTTTTGACATAGAATTTAATGCCACTCCATGTCCGATGTCTAAGGTCATCTGGTGAGGCATTAATGCAGGCCAGGCAGTGAGACTTCTCCACAGCCTTCACCTCAGATGCAGACCATGGCTTTCTTACACGTTCTAGGGAGAGAAATAAAAATATATTAGCAATATACACTCCCAGGGTTAGGACCAAGCAGCCTGGCTGTAATCCCCCACCTGGTACACTTACCAGAAGGGGCACTGCCACTACCATGGGGTGCATCTGGATGAATGGTTGAAGGTTCTCCGCTTGAAGTTTCTTTTAGCCCGTCCGTTTGTGAGAGGATCTCTACTGCTCTCCCTGTCGCACAGAAAATAAAAATACAAGTGGCCTTTAGGGGAAAAAAATCATACATATTTTAATAATGATCACGGCTATGCTCACACTCTGAGAGCAGCCGTCCTCCTGTGGACTCACCACCTGCAGAGGGTCAGTGAGGGGCTGGTGCTATGAGACTTGGGTGGCATCTCTGACTGCCACCCCCCTGACCCAGAAATGGATTAAAGGGTAGAAAATGGATGGATGGATATTTTAATAATATCAAGAATTACCTTCAGGCTCAATTTGTATCTGGTCGAGGCTCTTTCCTTCGAATTCCGTCACTCTTCCCTGCTCCATGGCCATCAACACTTTGCTGATTTTGGCCAGCTCCAGTGTCCCCTCTGGTAGTCTGTAATATTGCCTGTGGATGCGAATGTCATGGCCGAGGAAGTTGGCAAGTATGTCCATCTCATTCTCTTTCATATTGAGAACTGTAGACATAGTAGCTATGTGCTTTCTAAGTTTGGTTGAGGATAGCATCTCTGGATGCACCGCACCACATTCTTTGGCTACCTGGCGTAGGGAGTCTGATCCCCTGATGTGGGTGTCTGCGCCCGGGCGGGAAAAGAAGTATGGGTTATGGTCAGAGATGGAACAGGCCCTTCTGTTCTCCACCAGCACCTCCATCGAAGCAATCATTTCAGGAGTCAAAAGAACCGGCACTTTCCGACTTCTTTTCCCTTTAATTTCAATGCGTTGAAAATGCTGACACAGCTTTTTCTCAAGTTGGGACAGTCCCAGAGCAATGTCAGAATGGATCCCAGTCTTACTTCTTAAGGTAAAGGCTGTCAGTGGCATCTTTGAAACCTCACCTTCCCTTCTTCGATTGAAAATGATGACCTCACAAAGAGTCAAAACTGCCAGTTTAGACCAATGCTTAGACGTTGGCTCACTTATTAGGGTTTGCACATATTCAGGTCGACATACCTCAATATGTGCATGCATGGCTCTAACGTCCTCAGTCAGAGGGAGCAGGTCCGGAGTGTTCCACTTGGCTTGCCGGAGGGTCTGTAGGGCAGCAGAAGAAACACAGACGTCCCACCTCTTCTCAAAAAGCAGCCGGCTTCGTTGGAGGTTTTTAATAAATAGTTCATCAACACAATGCTCCATTTTTGAGTCACATTCAAGAATATCTGCTAGCTTTCTGAGGCTATGGCCGAGTTTGAGGGCCAAGGATGGAGTCTTGTATTGATTTGTTTCCTCATCATATCCAGCCACAGACCTGACTGCATCAATCACATGGTTAAAGTTGGAAGGAATAAAGAAATCCTTAATTGTTTTCAGTTTCCCTGCGGTTTTTGCTTCGTTAATTAACCTACCGACTTCTCTCATTTTCTGCCTAATGTAATCATGCTTAGTCTTATCATGCCCGTGTTTTAAATACAGGTGCTCTCCGAGTCTCAGAATCCCCTTTTCTGCTTTGACAACACCCGTGACCTCATCCTGATGCATTGCCGAAATTAAAGACCACAGCTTTTTGCTGATGCCCTCCGGTACAGGCTGGGCTAGGGAGCAGAGGGACTGGACCCTACTTCTACCTGGTTTAGCCTGGGCATCTTTCTGTGAAAGCCGGCACCTGGCCACATGCCTCCACAGCGACTTTCGCTTAAGCAATGCCCCACAGTCTATACAGTGCAAAAACTCACTGGATTTAACTGGGGAATTTGGCTGTTTAGCTGGGACTAAAGTTCCAATGCCGGCCTTTAAAACCTCAAAATTGTGCTCACGGTTTCCACTATTCCTGATCAAATCAAACTGAAGTTTACGTGCTTTAGATTTCACAGGTAGAGCCAATGCTCTGGCTACGTCACTTTCATTTCCATGTTTTCTAGTCAAATGACGGGACATTTTGTGGCAGGACATTGAACAGTAGAGGCAGAAGTGTCTCTTGCTGTAAACTCGCCCCCCATTTTTCTTCTTTTGCAGCTGCATGATAACAATCTTATTTGCCTTTGGTTCGTCACTTTCCGAGTCTTGAAGAAAAGTGTTTTTGATTTTTCTTTTTCCATACTTTTTTACAGGTTTCTTCTTGACAGTTAAATCGTCAGAATCTGAGTCGACTTCATCAATTAGGGACTCTTGACTAAGCTGCACAAACAACAAATAATTTGTAATCATTCTATATAACAATTTGAAGTCATGACTTGTAGTCAGCACTTACCAGTGGTTTGTAAGCGTGCGCTTCAGTGTGCTGCTCTGTGATTGGCTGCAGCCTAATGAACCACACACTTGCACCTTTTTCTAGCCTGACACCTGATTTCCTCTGTTGTGCTGCTCCATGATTGGCTCCAGCCTGCTGGACTGAAATTGCCCCAGTGTGCCCCTCCTTGATATCCCGCAACCCACCACCAGGGTTCCGACACATAACACACTTTTTTCAGGAAAGTAAACCTCCAGGGGTCCTTTCCATATTTTTACAGAGACTGCATAAGGACCGTTAGAAAAGCATTACCCATTGATTATTAAGCTTGGACCAGTGGGGTCCGGTGTTCGGGCCCCACCACGTAAAACCAGTCCCCATGACGTGAGTGGAATCTCAAGTTATGGAACCCACCAGGAGTTGAAAACAAGTGCACACAAAACGCACATATAGACGCAGATAGAGTCACATGCATACACACAAAACACACATACATACACACACAGACACACATGCACACACACACAAAACACACACAGATAGACACACACAGACACGTGCAAACACGTACAGACACAGACAGACAGAGAGACGCACACACACACAGAACACACACATACAGACACAAATGGGCACACATAAATACACACACATATAGACACAGACAGTCATACACACAAAACACACATATAGACACACAGACACACATGCATACACACACAAAACACACATATAGACAAATACAGACACACATGCATACACACACACACAAAACACACATACAGACACACACAGACACTCATGCATACACACACAGACACACGCAAACAAGTACAGACACAGACAGATGCACACACGCACACAAAACACACATACAGACACAGATGGGCACACATAAATACACGCATAGACATACAGACACAGATAGACACACACAAAACACACACAGATAGACACACGCGCACACATACACGTAGTTGAGCAGAGTCAGACAGGTCCTAGTGCCCGCCCTGTTCCCTGGGGGTGGGGCCTCACCTGTGACAGACCCAGATGGACTGAGGCCGTCTCAGAGATGTACAGGATCTTTCCATCTGCAGACACCACGAACACAAAGCCATCCAGGGTCTGACACACACACACTTTATGTGTATAGCACAGTTCACACACAACACAACACAAGGCATTCAAATAGGCATACGTAATCTCAATGAGTGAACAATAACTAACTAAAATAAAATATAATATCTGTCTTTAGCATAATAAAGAAGAAAGTGTAAATACTATATTCTAGTGCAAGAAATACATAACGTGGAGCAATCAAAATGATGGCTCTCGGGGTTCCAGTAGTTTCCACAGAGGCCTCCAGGGGCCTGGAGAAAACCATACATGGTCCTCACACATGGCCCTCTCACATGGTAAGTAATAAGTAAGTAAGTAATCTTTATTTATATACTTTTCACTGCACATCGGATTCTCAAAGCGGTTTACAATTGTTATTTTTCGCGAGTGGGGGTGCCAGTACAGGAGGCACATGCCAGACCTATTGTACATATTTTTAGTGGTAGGGGAAACCGGAGCACCCGGAGGAAACCTACGCAGACACGGGGAGAACATGAAAACTCCACTCAGAAAGGCCCTGGTCCAACCGGGATTCGAACCAGGACCTTCTTGCTGAGAGGCGAGAGTGCTATCCACTCAGCCACCGTGGCGGCACCATCGAGTGAGGACTCGATGGTCCTCACTCATGGTCCTCACATGGTCCTCCCATATACGGTCCTCACTCATGGTCCTCACATGGTCCTCCCATATACGGTCCTCACTCATGGTCCTCACACATGGTCCTCACCTGCAAAAGATGAGAGCCCAGTTCTGAGGCCCCTCTCTCCACCGAGCTGCAGCGGACTGGAGACACACACACATCTGGAAGAGCTAGACACACACACATCACAGACACACACACACACACACATCACAGACACACACACACACACATCACATACACACACACAGAACGTGTTGAAATAAGTTGATATTGACACTTTTTTATTGTACATAATTATATCCTGACTATATTGAACCTTTAACATGTGTAACACGTCTGTCTTTTGCACAGAGTGATTCTCTCTGTGCCAAATGTGACGCGTACATGTCTCTGTGAGATCAGTAAAGTTTATCTTATAAAAGTCTTTCCATAAACACAGCCAAAGGTATAAATAATATCCATACTTCATGTTCATATCAGTCACGTGGGTCTGAGGCAGGCTCTGGTCCAATCAGATCAAGTGTTTCTCATGTGTTTGTGTGTTTGTTTCGGGCTATTATTGCTTTGGTTCATTTTGGACACAGTTATTTCTTTGGTTCCAGAAGAAAAACACACAAACTGTTTCAGATGAATTCAGCACTGAGTGTTTTCACACGGAGCTGTTTCTCTGCAGTTACACTTTTACACTTTTAGACTTTTACAAACGGATGGACTTTTTTGATACACACAGAATGAAGCAGGATCAGAAACTTTAGTCTCCCTCACTTGTGTGGTTTGTGTGTTTGTGTGTCCATGGTAACCCGGATGTCACACACAGGTGACAGGGACATCTGCACCTGTCACTTCAGCCTCAGGACGCACGCGCGCGGCTCGAAATAAACAAGTGATAAACAAACACAGACACGTGCGCATACAGACCGTGCACGCGCTATAAGCAGAAGCGGGCACGAGTACATGTACACGTTCACGTGTGTATATTGCACATGTGTGTATTGCACAGAGGTTATTGATCTCCGTCCGAACTCTCATCAGACAGTGCGGAGCCGCTTTGTGCGCTTCGTGTGCGCGTGCCCGCGCCTCTCCGCCTGTCGCGCGCACATGTTGCTGACAGCTCACTTCTTCTCACTTCTTTGTCCCTCTTTAAGCCGCTGGCCCTAGGCCCCTCTCCTCAGGGGCCCCGCACGTGTTTAGTCTCAGATTGAGTTTTAATTGGTTTTAAACAGAGCTGAGCGCGTTCAAGGGCCCTTCAGTGTGCGCGTGCACACGCCCGGGCACGTGCACGTATTATTGTGTATTTAAAGTTCATTATTCTGCTCCTCTTCATCAGCTCCGCCCCTAACACTCCACAAAGTTCATTTAGAAAAGATTTAGGATTAATGCGTTTGTCTGCGGCTATTTAAGCTGAAGGCTGAGAGAGGGACCACAGAGACCCCCAGGGGCCCAGAAAGACCAGAGCAGAGCAGAGACCCCCAAGGGCCCAGAGAGACCAGAGCAGAGCAGAGACCCCCAGGGGCCCAGAGAGACCAGAGCAGACACTGGGGACAGAGAGCAGAGGCCCTCAGGAGTCACACAGAGACAGAGCGGTGATGGAGGACTCTCTGCTGGACTTGGACCAGGACCCACTTTTGGACTTGGGTCTGTGGGCTCCTCTGGAGCCAGGAGCCCCTCTGGAGCCAGGAGCCCCTCTGGAGCCACTGCTGCTGGACTGTGGCACCGGGGCCTTGTCCCCATGGACAGAGTCCAGTCTGGGACCCGGTCCTGGTTTTGGCCCAGTTTTTGGGGAGGTTCCTCTGGGGCTGGAGCCGGAGCAGCTCACCTGTGCGGCTCTGGACTCGTGCACGGCTTTGGACTCATGCACGGCCCTGGACTCGTGCACGGCTCTGGACTCGTGCACGGATATGGACTCGTGCACGGCTTTGGACTCGTGCACAGATTTGTTGGACTCATGCACTGACATGTTGGACTCGTGCACGGATGTTCTGGACTCGTGCATGCGCAGACCCCGCCCCCTTCCAAACCCACCGTATAAAGTACAGCGTCACGCAGCGAACGTGCGTGAGCGCAAGCGCATGCTCAGCATCAACTGTGCGTTTGAAGCGCTGCGTGCACACGTGCCCACGTTCCCGTACGAGAAGCGTCTGTCCAAGATCGACACGCTGCGGCTCGCCATCGCCTACATCGCTCTACTGCGGGAGATCCTGCTGTCCGGCAGGAACCCCAAAGACTATGTGGATGAGTGCCTGAAGAGCGGCCTGAAGGGCCCCCAGGGGCCTCAGGGGCCCGGGGACAGTACAGCGACCTGGAACACGAGCGGTGAGTGACACTAATGACACAGTGACTGTAAAAGTGTAAATGTTCACATTATACTGAAAGTTATGTCTCTGCACAGATCTGACGGCCAGACTCTCATGGATCAAGTGGGATTAGACCTGGACCTGGACCTGGTCTCTGGTCTCTGGTCTCTGGTCTCTGCCTTAAGTCCTCACATCAAACCCTGACACATGTATGGACCAATCAGAGCGCTGCATCACATGGGGGGTAACACTGGCCTCCATTCTGCATTTTTTGAGGTTTGATTAATTTGAGATGAACATAATAGTTTTGTCATCGCTATGGCAACACAATAAAGATGGGACTGGGCCACAGTGGCTCCGTTGGCAGAGCATTGACTCACCTCCTGTGGACCCACCTCCTGCAGGAGGAGCAGTGAGGAGCTGCTGTCTGTGTACTGGGTGCAGCTCTGACTGCCACCCCCAACCCAGAAATGGATTAAGGAGAAGAAAATGGATGGATGTGACTCGTTTGTGACGCAAAAACAAAGAGAACGTTTATCCTTGAGGCCGATAACCCTAACCCTAAAGGCCAGAAGTTAAAAAGTGAGTTTGTCACAGTTCGATGAACAGATGAACTTTAACTGTTACCAAAGACTTTGGATTTAATGACTATTTATTTGTATTTATTCTTATTTATCAGTTAATTATTCTGTTGATGAGTCATCTCTGATGTCCCTGTGTAAAGATGAGGAACTGTAATGATGTCATGTACGCAGTGAGACATTAAAAAAAAATTAGGAAATATTTGACTCGGTTCAAAAGTCAGAAACGTTACATAGTATTTGAACCTGAAAGAAAATGTGCTCTAATAGTATGGTCTTACCATGTGTAAACTCTGGTCCATGATCATTTCCTACGTGTACGTCTGGGTTTGATCCTAGTGGCCTCGGTTGAATCCCCTCCGACCAATCAGAGAGCGGGGGAGGCGGGCGTTGTAGGTCGGTGTCGGGGAGGTCAAGAGTTTGTGCTGAATTTGCTGGTTGTAGTTTGACGGAGAATGTGATAGTCTTTGCCACTGACGGAGCCCGTAGGGAGTAGAGCCACAACATCTTTGCTTCAATGACATATACTAAATATTCCTCTTGCTCCGGCTTTAGTTTCTTGATATTTGGATTGAACAAACTCTTGACGTCGCCAATATATATTTATTAGGGATGCACCGATACCGATACTGGTATTGGGTTACGGGTCGATACCATAAGACCTGATCCGTGGAGCCAATATCCGTGAGCAGAAGCTGAATTTACGCATGAGAGAGAGTCTCAACCTAAAAAGTCTCAACCTAAAAAGTCTTAACCTAAAAAGTCTCAACCTAAATTGTCACAACCTAAATAGTCACAACCTAAATAGTCACAACCTAAATATTCTCAACCTAAAAGGTGGTGAGGTGGGAGAGTCTGTCCATAGGACAACAATCAGTCGTGCACTGCACAAATCTGGCCTTTATGGAAGAGTGGCCATTTCTCAAAGATATCCAATAAAAGTCTCTTAAAGTTTGCCACAAGCCACCTGGGAGACACACCGAACATGTGGAAGAAGGTGCTCTGGTCAGATGAAACCAAAATCAAACTTTTTGGCCACAATGCAAAACGAAATGTTTGGCGTAAAAGCAACACAGCTCATCACCCTGAACACACCATCCCCACCTCAGCTGTACTTATCTGCAGTTCATCCAGAGCGATCATGGGCCTCTTGGCTGCATCTCTGATCAGTCTTCTCCTTGTTTGAGATGAAAGTTTGGAGGGACGGCCGGGTCTTGGTAGATTTGCAGTGGTCTGATACTCCTTCCATTCCAATATAATTGCTTGCACAGTGCTCCTTGAGATGTTTAAAGCTTGGGAAATCTTTTTGTATCCAAATCCGGCTTTAAACTTCTCCAAAACAGTATCTCGGACCTGCCTGGTGTGTTCCTTTGTCTTCATGGTTCTCTCTGCGCTTTAAACAGAACCCTGAGACTATCAAAGAGCAGGTGCATTTATACGGAGACTTGATTACACAGAGGAGCATTCTATTTATCATCATCAGTCATTTAGGACAACATTGGATCATTCAAAGATCCTCACTGAACTTCTGGAGTGAGTTTGCTGCACTGAAAGTAAAGGGGCCGAATAATATTGCACGCCCCACTTTTCAGTTTTTTATTTGTTAAAAAAGTTTAAATTATCCAACAAATTTCATTCCACTTCACGATTGTGTCCAACTTGTTGTTGATTCATGACAAAAAATTTAAATTTTATATCTTTATGTTTGAAGCCTGAAATATGGCGAAAGGTTCAAGGGGGCCGAATACTTTCGCAAGGCACTGTATATTATATATATTGTATATGAACAGATCCTGTACTATCCTTTGTTCCTCTGTGTTTTATACTGTAAATGTGTACATTCCTGAGCACTTCTATCCAAATTATTCTCACAAATATTATCTTATTATTATTCTTATTTTTAGATTAACCTTAACCTGTGGGAACACCATGGTGCCACAGTGGGGCGGCTGCGGCTGTAAAGTGCCAAAATGCCGTAATGTCCTTAGGCAAGACACTTCCCCCACATAAGAATGAGTCCGATGTGTGTGTGAATGGTTGGTGGTGGTGGGAGGGGCCGATGTCACAGACTGGTTACCTCGCTTCTGTCAGTGTGCCCCAGGGCAGCTGTGGCTACAGTAGTAGTTTATCACCACCGTGTATGGAGTGAAAGAATAATGACATGTGAAGCGTCTTTGAGTGTCCAAAAAAGTGCTGTATAAATGCATCATTATTATTAATATTATTATTATTATTGTAGACAACCAGGAAATCACCAAATCTGTGGAGAAATGGAAACAGAGACAGGAGTGTGTGTGCTCAGAGGAGGCCTATCGTGAAGAAGGAGGCCTACTATGGAGGAGGAGGTGTATTGTGGAGAAGGAGGCCTACTGTGGAGGAGGAGGTGTATTGTGGAGAAGGAGGCCTACTGTGGAGGAGGAGGTGTATTGTGGAGAAGGAGGCCTACCGTGGAGGAGGAGCGCCCGCATACGCAGGTAGCTGCTGCTGAGGCGGATGATGGAGGCCTTGTCCAGCTGTGCGGTGATGGCGGTGGGAAGAGGCAGCAGCCGCGACAGAGCGCTCAGCTCACGGTTCTCCTTCTCCCGCCGAGACTTTGCTGCGTTCCTCCACCTCTCCTTCATCTCAGGTCCTGGTTCTGGTCCAGGTCCTGGTTCTGGTCCAGAAAGGTCCACAGGCGGTCCACAGATGGTCCACAGATGGTGCTCCTCTAACTTCTAACGCCTCCTCTCTCTCCTCTGCCTCCTCTCTCTCCTCTGCCTCCTTCGCCTCCTCTCTCTCCTCTGCAGCTGTGGAGAGTGTGAGGCTCCTGAGAGAGGCCCCTGGACCCACATCTGCCTCAGGGGGTGGAGCCCTGTGTGAGGACTGGGGGAGGGAGCTGTCAAAAATGTGACTATTGAGATAAATATTTCCAAATCCTTAATTCCTCTCACAGCGGGGAAATGTCAGTGTTGCAATCACCAGGTACAGAAGGAAGTAGGAATGAGGAGCACACAGCACAAGATAAATGAATAATAACTCTACACTAATTCCATCTGAAGAAACCAAAGACAGAAACATTAATGCATGAAAAATATGTATTTGTCTGGCGCATTGACCCCGGCAGTGACACTTGCAGAGGGGAGATCACTTCTGCTGTAGATGATCTCAGACCTCCCGGGGTCAAGCACTGGTGGTGGCTATAGAAGCATGGTGTGAATGGGGCGCAGGCGGAACAGGAGCCAGGGCAGGAGCCAGGGCAGGAGCCAGGGCAGGAGCCAGGGCAGGAGCCAGGGCAGGAGCCAGGGCAGGAGCCAGAGCAGGAGCCAGGACAGGAGCCAGAGGAGGCGGTGAGTGTCAAGAGCTCAGGAAGTGCTGTTTATCAGGCAGTGGCTGCCTTGTAAAATGCCCACTTTGCTGTCAGTGGGTTGGCGAGAGGCTGGCCGGGCTGTCTGATTGGCTGAGGCTCGAGGCTGCAGAGCTGTGTGATCGCCTGTATTTTATTATTGTATATATTTTAATGCCTTGTGTGATCGTTTTGTTGTTCAGCCCTTTGAGTTGCCTTCTGTATGAACTGTGCTATACAAAAAAACTAGCAATGAAGATGTACTTTAAACAATGTTATACAGTTTGAGGTTGAGACCCACAGTATATTTCAACATTTCTATTTCTCTGGATTGAGGCAGGAGCCAAAACCAAAAACTGGGAGTGGGACCAGAAATTCACGTAACAGAGACACCCGCACCTGTCTGACGGTCTCTGTGACGGGCCGCTGGTTGCACTGGTCTGCAGCGCCATCGTGTGTTCGCACCGGGGAACTACACAATGTACTGGCAGCTCTTACCTTTAATATATCTTTATTAGATGATACAACACAAATCGACACAGAACTACGCCTCTAGGTGAATACTTAGAAGCATAGTATTTTCGCTCTGCTTCTGCAAGAACTATAGCAGTGTTTTTCAACTAGTGCACCGTGGACAGTTAGTGTGCCTCAGGATTTTGTCTGGTGTGCCTTTGGAAATGATCAAATACTACCTAAATGGTTGCAATATGTCCAAAACTCCGCCGTCCGCCTCATCACTCAGACCCGCTCCAGAGAACACATCACCCCTGTCCTTCATAAACTCCACTGGCTCCCATCAAGCCCTCCATGACCTCGCTCCTCCAGACCTCACAGTCCTTTCCGTCGACTCCGATCTGCAGACTCACATCTCCTCACTCCCACTGTCAAATCCAAGCACCGAACCTTGGGGGGCCGAGCTTTTGCCATCTCTGCTTCCACTCTCTGGAACTCGGACTCAGACAGACTCCTTCAACAAACAGTTAAAAACTCACCTCTTCCTCCAAACATACAACTCTTAGTTTCAACTTTATACCCTTCTTTCCTTCTTTTAGATGATTCAGTTTTGTGTGTCTGTCTAATTGTGTGTGTGTGTGTGTCCTGAATTGTGAGTCGTCTTTGAGTTTTTGAAAAGCAGTATCTAAAACCGATGTATCATTATCATAAAATTTTTTTTAAAAACTTTTGATGAAGAGTGTTATAAGATAGCAAATATGTTTTTTCCCTCTGTGCATGCTCGGTTCTTAAATATACTTTGGTTATAATAACTTTGCATTGGCCGTGGAGTTTCATTATTTTCCACAGGTCAAAAACGTTTTGGAAGCAGTGCACAATAGTATTATTGTTATTATTATTAATCTTTAAAAAGGACACAATAAAATATGATCGATAGTTAAAATAAAAGTACAGTACATGCAGTATATTGCATGTTGAAAATGTAGATTAAAAAAAGAACAGCTGTAGTACAGGATAAAGGCCTTCACTGAGTCAGAGTGTGAGCTGCCTGGTGTGTGGAGTAAATGTGTAATAATAATAATAATAATAATAATGCATCAAACTTACAGTATAGAGCGGCTTTTGGACACTCAAAGACGCTTTACAAAACACATAGAGCGAACAGATGGGAAGTGTCTTTGAGTGTCCAAAAATACACAAACCAGGTGCATTATTATTATTATTATGATCTGATTTTCACCAACAAATACTTCTCAATCAATCTTTTAATGTAGAGCGTCTTTTTACAGTCCACATCACCCGAAGCAAAAAGCATCCAAACAAACACCAGATTCATCATCCATCCATCCATCCATTTTCTTCCGCTTCATCCGTTGCCGGGTTGCGGGGGCAGCAGTCTAAGGAGAGACGCCCAGACTTCCCTATCCACACACACTTCATGGAACAGGTCTGACTTACTGCCGGTGATGCGAACACAGCTCTGGCTCCGGTCATACAGGGACCGGATGGCCCTCAGCAGAGGACCCCGGACCCCATACTCCCGGAGAACCCCCCAAGGACACCGTGGGGAACACGGTCGAACGCCTTCTTCGTATCATCATCACAACACTAACATCACACAGAAAATTATAATCATTAAAACACTAACACCACACAAGTAATTAAAAATAAAAAAGGAATCCTACATCCTGAAACAATGGTCTCAACATTACCGTGTGTGGATTACACACAGTGGCCCTCATTTATGAAAAACTCCAAACTCCAAACATCGTCTCTCAATTCCATTTTAAACTCAGTGATTTAGTAAACACACACGTTACATTTACAATTGTTAACACTATATTAATAATGGTTAAATATCATATCCATAAAAGCAAATGGAGAAAGAACCGGCCATGTTTTAAAAACGAATTGAAAATGTACTTGTCCTCTCTGAAAAAACGGATAAAAACCAACCTGAAAGCTAATCAAATGTACCAGTCTGCTGAAAATCTGTAACTGTATATATATTTTTATATTATTTCTTGAGGCCTTGCCATGTGATTGGATTTCTCTACAAGAGTTTGTGTTGTTTTATATTTTTAATAACAAAATTAAAAAACAGACGTTACAATTCAGTCATTTCCCCAACACGTCATACCGGGGCTGACCGCTGGGGGGCAGGCCTGCTCCGTGGCCGCTCCCGTGGCCTTGGACCGCTGCCCGCGTCACTCTCCACACTCCAAACTCATTTGTGTATTTAGGTCATGTGTCGGAGCAGCACAATCTGCAGATCACCTCTTAATCTGCCCACATCATCTTCTCCGCTCTTTTTGTTGTCGAAGGCTTTGGGATTAAAACCTATGACCACGAAACAATTCATTTGTGAACGCAACATCCATCAAGTGTTTATTCAAATGTATTTATTTTTGTAAGACCAGAATAACAACAAATTCTACCGAGGGACTTTGGTTTTCTCAATTAGTCTCATTAAGCAGGGACAATAGTAATTGGTCACAAAAGATTAGGGCAAGAAATGTTTATTTGTATCGCACAGTTCACACACGAGAGGCAAGTCAAAGCGGATTACTGACATTTAGCAAAGTAGCTGAATTTACAGTTACGCAATTTAGCACTTTTTCTTTGAGCGAGCCTTCATTTGTCCCACAGTGGGGAAATTTCAGTGTTGCAGCGCATAAACAGGACTGTACAAAGAAACACACAAAATCACACATAAGCCGCTGCTACGTTTCTTAGCTGTAAATGCTTCAATACAGGTCTACAGACAGTCGGTCGGTGGGATTGGATTCCTCTTTCAATACGGCCACCCCAAGGTTTCTCACTTTGGCCCACTAGGGTTCTATATGGAGTGGTTCTTTGCCGATGCAGGAGGGTCTAAAGACTGTGATGATTCACATTTATCACATGTGAGTCACGTGTCCAATCAGGAGGCAGACAGACATCGTTGTTTTCTGACATCATTCCGACAGTTGACTTTGGAAGTGGAAATACAGAAGCAGCTGTAGAGCCTGGTTCAATGGTTCTTGGCTCAAAGCAGAGTTACAGATGTGTGTCGATGCGGTGGAGACGGTTTACCCAGGTTTGTGGAAACAGTAGGTCACGTATGGGTCACAGCAGCAGCAGTTCCAGGTTTGTGTGATCACTGTACCACTTGCAGGACATGCTGCGTGTGTCAAGAGCTGAGAGCATGTTCCTTCAGTCTCCTGCAGGAGGGACCCATCTGTGGTGAGTCAATAGCAGTCCACAGTATTCTCAGTGTTGGGGTCACTGGTGTCAGATCTCTGGTGCTCTCCTCGTTGCAGGACTCTAACTGTTCCCCAAGTTTTGGGAAGGGGGACAGCAGCGAGTTACTGCAGAGCTCTATACCTTTGGCCCATCAGGTCTGCTCTTTCCTTTGACGGAGTTTGAACCAGGAAGAACCGGCCTGGTTCCCTGGTGCTGGTCTGTGATTGGAGCTTTGGGTCCAAGACCCTCTGAGCCTCCAGTGAAGAACTACAGTTACATTCATTAACTCAGACACATTTACAGTTCTCTGCAGCCATGACCTGGGGTTCTGTCCCCACAGGAACTCACAATAACTAATTCATGAAAACATTCTGCATATTCATAAACGTAGACTCTGTGCTTCCAGAATCACGTTTCCAAATCTCAAGAATGCGTCTCATTATTTGCTTCTGATACAGTTCCAGATCATTCCATTCATCAGATTCTGTTTTTATATTTCAATACAGAGTTAATGTCGAGAGGCTTTTTCTTCAGTGTCAAACTGCAGCATGTGCCCAGATTATTCCCAGAGTGTTCCTAGATTTTTCCCAGTGTTCCCAGATTATTCCCAGAGTGTTCCCAATGTGTTCCCAAAGTGCTCCCAGATTATTCCCAGTGTTCCCAAAGGGTTCCCAAAGTGCTCCCAGATTATTCCCAGAGTGTTCCCAAAGTGTTCCCAGAGTATTCCCAAAGTGTTCCCAGATTATTCCTATAGTGTTCCCAGATTATTCCCAAAGTGTTCCCAGATTATTCCCAGAGTGTTCCCAAAGTGTTCCCAGATTAGCCTCAGTCTTCCACTGAGCTCCTTCAGTGGAAGACTGAGGCACCCTCAGTGTAGGAAGGAGCGCTACCGCAGGGCCTTTATCCCCACCACTGTCAGACTGTACAATAAGTCACTTTAAATTCACACTGTGTGAAAACCTGCACTACTATTGACACTGTTTCCAATTGACACTTGTCACTTTTGTTGTACATAATTATTGTCACTTTATTGTACATATATCCTGCATGTAACATGTTTGCACATTTCCTCCTTTGCACAATCTGAGTGTCTCTATCCATGCCAAATGTGACATGTAAATTTCTCCTCTGTGAGATAAATAAAGCAATCTTATCTTATCTTATTATTCCCAGAGTGTTCCCAAAGTGTTCCCAGAGTATTCCAACAGTCCTTGAGCTATCATTGTGTTTATGAAACCAATCAGAGAATACTGTGAATATTTCTGATCTTTGTGATAATTGATAATGATGTTTTGTTGTATCAGCCGTGGTTTACTGTGGCATATTTATTTGATTGGGAACTGTGTTAGTTGATTATTTGAGACTGTTATTGATGAGAATTGGGAATGAGAAAACCCTGCACATGAACTGATAGTACTTTGTTCATTTAAAGTGCAGGTTGTTTATTAAAAAACTATTATTGTGAGAGACCACCGTCGAGGGCCCGCTGCTCGCTGCCTTACCCGGACCACCACCTCCAGGGCCCGGCACAGGATCCAGAGCACTGGGGCCCGCCTCACCACAGTTAGAGATCCAGATTAGAACGAGAAGGAACCCCACGGCCACTTGACTAACAAACGACTTGACTGACTAAAGTGAACTGAGAAGAACAAATAATTGAAAAGGAGGTTGCTCCCCACTTTATGACGATTGATTAAAACAAAGGATGAACACTTTCTTTTACAAACAAATACTATTTTTTGCATTTTATTCTAAGTTGCTCACTATTCTCCTTATTGAATCTGGATCCCTAATGGGTGTGCATTTTACAATTAGTTATAAACAAAGTGCTACAAATATTATTATTATTATTATTATTATTGTGGCATTTTATTGTACGGTTTCTGTTCCTATATGTATTACTGTGAATTTTAATTTTGTGATTGTGTTGCTGTTTTAGTCCCACTTACTTTTTGATGACAATGAGGACTACACTAAGAACAGTTATTATGAATATGTTACAGATGAGTTGTGAGAATGCTGGTGTGAATGAGTGAGTACTGTTGTCGGAAGAATATTCTACCTCTGGATCTCACTGATAATCTGTTCATTTTCTCTGGACAGTAATGAGCGTTTGTCAGTGTGTAGTCATGGAGCGTATTTGTGCGTCGGCTGCTCTTCAGAGAGAGCTCCTAATGTGGGATTCAAAAGTCCTGTCCTAGATCCACCGCCGTGACTCACAAACACACTCATGATTCAGTTTGGAGTCGACCTGTGGAGGCAGAGAGCCGTGTGCAGAGAGGAGACAGCCTTGTCCTACTTTACACTCATACAACTTTCATATTGTGCTGCGTTTGTCCACACACTCTTTTTGGAAACACACAAAACAACGAGACTGACAGCTACATCCATCCTGCGCCTGAGTCTGTCGCACTCACCGCTAAACAGAGAGGAATGTTCCAAAAGCAGCCGGACTTCGGAAGCTTCAGGGTGGAGAGAAACACAAGTCCATCCGTAGAAAGACAACCTTAAAGGGGCAGGTCCAGAATCCTGGTCGGAACAGGATCTTTCTGCGTCTGTTTAGGTTTCCTTCTGGCGCTCCGGCTTTGCCGAAACAAGTCCTGAGTGTCTCTGAAGCAGTTGTCGTTTTGTGTTTTACTGTTGTTATTTTTCTGTAAATGTTGCCGCAGTCGACAGTAGCTCAGTTGGTAGAGCATTGGCCTTCAGGCCTGAAGGTCGTGGGTTCAATTCCCACCTCTACACCTTCTCCACCGACTCCCACTGATGACTGCTGTCGTTGTGACCTTGGGCAAGAGACTTAACCCCACTTTGCCAAAAGCCCCCACTGAAAGATGAAGGCTATGCTCACACTCAGAGAGCAGCCGTCCTCCTGTGGACTCACCACCTGCAGAGGGTCAGTGAGGGGCTGGTGCTATGAGACTTGGGTGGCATCTCTGATTGCCACCCCCCTGACCCAGAAATGGATTAAAGAGTAGAAGATGGATGGATGGATGGATGGATGTTGCCGCAGTACAGTGTTCATGGTTTTACACTGATCCAGACCAGTCCAGAGCAGGGAGGATGGTCCCAACCAAGAAGATCAATTGGAATCCACTGGAGGAATGCTCATGAGAAACAATGCTAATAAAGCATTCACCATTGTACTCGGTACCAGAGCAGAGACAATGGTCCATTTTATTATTATTGTTAGCTACTTATAGAATTATTGATTTACCTAGTCTACCTGTCTGTCTGTCTGTCTCTCTCTCTCTCTCTCTCTCTCTCTCTCTCTCTCTCTATATATATACATATAGAAGAAGTGGAGGTACAAAAAAGACTTGGATTTAAATGTAAAATCTGACCCTGGTTTTCTCACGGTCACGTTTGTTGGTTTGAATCGTCTGAGTCCTGTGCAGAATTATGTCCAGAATCGTACATCAAATGGATCCAGGACTGAGGCTGTAGACCCAGGACTGAGGCGGCTGTAGATCCAGGACTGAGGCTGTAGATCCAGGACTGAGGCTGTAGATCCAGGACTGAGGCTGTAAATCCAGGACTGAGGCTGTAGATCCAGGACTGAGGCTGTAAATCCAGGACTGAGGCTGTAGATCCAGGACTGAGGCTGTAAATCCAGGACTGAGGCTGTTTTTATGATTTTGATATTTTTATGTCACACAAATATATTTTCATAATATGCTAAATGTACATAACTTTTAGGAACAACTAAATCCTACTTTCAAGATAGTTTGTATAATGTTTTTATTATACAGTATATATTTGTCTGTTTTATAGTAAGAATAAAAGTCCTTTGTCTAAGAGGACATAATGTCTATCAGGACTGGGCGATATGGCCAAAAATACAGTCAAATCAACCTTACAAAGATGTCGATGTCCATAGATGTTTTTTGAATGTCACAAATATGATAATTACGAGAGAAACTGACGATACAAATTCCACTGAAACGGGGAGAACAGTGACGGGGGCAGATTACAGCGTCATGCTAACGAGTCGGGGGGTGGTGGTGCGACAGGGGTAACCTTTCCCGGACCATCTGTTACCTGCTCTTGGTGTCGATGGTCCTTCGTGTCTGACCTTTGGAGCGTGGCAGTCGGCGTGCGCCCGATGTGCTTAATGTATGCCAGCATCTGCCTCCGCCGCCGCCGCAGGTCCCGGCTGAATAACAAGTGTGTTATTTGTGCGGCCCTCGGAGTGTGACATCAACATACTCCTGCACATTAGACCAGGAAGCTATCACAGAAACGGCCCCGCGGCGGGCCCTCGAGCAGAAGGCACTTTATTTGTGTTGCGCTGGTCGTACGCAGGGAAACTCAAAGGTTCAATAAAATAAGAAAAGAGACATTGAAATCTAACCCGACATTACAAACATGGATAATCACAATACTTTAAAAAGAGTGAAGAAACAGTACTTCAGCTGTAGCAAATAATACGTGTTTTTAACCTGGATTTGGACGTTTTCAGAAAAGAAGCCTGTCTCACATTTTCAGTAAGTAGTAAGTACATTTTATTTATCGAGCAGCTTTCACAGATAAAAATCACAAAGTGCTGTAAAAGCAGATATGTACACTACCGTTCAAAAGTTTGGGGTCAAATTGAAATGTCCTTATTTTTTAAGGAAAAGCTGTAGATAACTTTAAACTAGTCTTAACTGTAAAGAAAAACACTCTATACATTGCTTATGTGGTAAATGACTATTCTAGCTGCAAATGTCTGGTTTTTGGTGCAAAGTTGTAATTGCTGCAAATGGAGGATTCTTTGACGAAAGCAAAGTTGGATGTAAAACAAATCTTATTTCAAATACAAATCATTATTTCTAACTTTGTCAATGTCTTAACTCTATTTTCTATTCATTTCCCAACGTATGGTGGTGATTAAGTGTGACTTTTCATGGAAAACACTTGGGTGACCCCAAACTTTTGAACGGTAGTGTATATACAAGAGAAATAAGGCAAAAATAGAAAATAACATAAAAGCAAGAAATTAACTAAAAGCTGCCCTAAAAAGAAGTGTCTTTAGTCCCTTTTTAAAAGCATCGGCAGAGTGGACCACACGGAGGGACAGAGGCAAAGCGTTCCACAGTCTTAGGGCCACGGACTGGAAGGACCAGTCCCCCCGGGTCTTATAGCGGGTCTTTGGGACCGCAAGTAAATTCTGGCCTGTGGACCTAAGAGTGCGGCCAGAACAGTGTGGGGTCAAGAGGTCCGAGATGTAACAAGGAGCCTGATCATTTAAGGCTCTGAAAGTTAAAGCTGCACTAACTGACTTTATTTTTGTATTCATTACGAAAATGCTATCCATGTCCATGTAGTGCATTGGGATATACGTCCTTTTGAAGAAAAAGTAGCGCAGATTTGTACTGGCGTAACATAATATTTTAGATTGAGTTTTGATGAAACAAGGAAGAGAATGTGTTTCGGGTCGCAGATTGTGACCAATCACAGCGGACCACTAGCCCCCACTTTCGTAAGAAATCTACAGGTCCGTTAGCATAGACGGCTGAGTTAGCACAACAAGTGGCGGAGCTAACCTGAAGCTTCGTGTGTCTTCGTCACCGGTTACTGCTTACACAGCGAGACAGCCATCCAAAAGAAAGTTTCGTTCCTCCGCGCTTCCCGGTTCTATCGTTCTATGGTCACGGCATCCACGTGCAAATCCATATCCATGGTTTATCCATATTGGAAGACGCTAGCTTCATCAACAACAGTGGGTGTGTGTGGGGGGCGATAGCTTCGTGGGTGAGGGGAGGGGAGCAGAAAGAGCGAGGCCAGCGAGTCCACAGCTTCAAAATCCCAAAGTCAGTTAGTGCAGCTTTAAAACTAAAATTTTAAAATCTATACTTAATTTAATTGGGAGCCAATGAAGTGAGGACAGGACCGGGGTGATGTGAGACCACCGGCAGCGGAGTTTTTCACAAATTGTAGTCTGTATTTTCAGGAAGACTGTGGTAGATTTGAGATGTATGAATCTGAAACACTGCCTCCCCGTGTTTAGTTCTGACTCTGGGACCAGCAGGAGGCCAGTCCCTGTGCTCCTCAGAGTCCCACAGGTGCAACTAATATTGTTGCTCTCACCGTGCCCTCACAAATTTGAAGTAAGAACCATGGAGGACAACCGTTAAGAACCATGGAGGACCACAGTTATGTAAAAGAACCATGGAGGACCACAGTTATGTAAAAGAACCATGGAGGACCACAGAACCATGGGGGACCACAGTTATGTAAAAGAACCATGGGGGACCACAGAACCATGGGGGACCACAGTTATGTAAAAGAACCATGGGGGACCACAGTTATGTAAAAGAACCATGGGGGACTACAGTGATGTAAAAGAACCATGGGGGACCACAACAACAATCTTTTATAAAAAGAATTATGCAAAACTAGAATCCTGTGTCATAACAGCAAAGTGTCACATCACAAAGACACACAGTGAAAGGCAGAGGAGCAGACTCCTCTGGATCAGCTTGTTCCAGTAGAGGTGACGTACTATATGCACAAAATGCCTTTAAAGTGGCAAGTTTTGAGTGTTGTCTGTTGTATCACCAAAAATAATAATCACACATGAGCTCAAGACGGACTGTGGAGAATGAAGAAAAGCCATCTGTAAGTAAGTAATGTTTATTCATAGGGCGCTTTTTACAGACCAAGGTCACCCAAAGCACTTCACAATGTTCAGAGTCAGATACTGCTCCAATCAGAAGAGAGTCCAGAACACACTGGACCATCAGCTCCAATCAACACCATCCATTCACTCTCTCATTTACATTCAGACTATTGTGCATGTTTTTAGTGGTAGGGGAAACCGGAGCACCCGGAGGAAACCTACGCAGACACGGGGAGAACATGCAAACTCCACTCAGAAAGATTGTCTGCTAACACAACATAGAAACATAGATACTACTTATTTAGTATAATTTTTGTGTGTTCCCTGTGTGCTCGTACTACTGTCCTGTCTGTGCGCTGCAACATTGAAACTTCCCCACTGTGGGATGAATAAAGGATCTCTATCTTATCTTAAAGCTGCTGAGTTTAGGTTCAAGTCTAACCTTTGTTTTGATTAATCCCTGAACGACTGAGAGCTTCCACAAACTTATTATTATACAGTATATTATATTATTATTATATTATGCAGTATATTTGTCCAACAGAACTCTCAGTGTTGAACTCAAATAATCTTGACTTTCAGATGCCTCAGAAAAACTGTTATTCTATGATGCAACTGGTGAAGCAATGCAACCAGGAACAACAAGTACATTCATCCTCTTCAACACTATAGTCAAAGGAATGCCAAAAGCAGTACAACACAGTCTTTCTCATGTAGTTATGGTGCCGGAAGTACCGGAAGTAGCCGGCCGGCTCTAATGGTGCGTTCAGACCAAAAGCTTCAAAAAGCTTTTGACGCGCGTCAACTGACGGCGGGTAATTTTCGTCATTTTGGTGCTTGAAGCTTTTGATGCGAGTGACGCGCCTGACGCCGGTGGGAGGAGCTTCTTTGTTGCCTGTAGTCAACGGTGGATTTCCAGAGAGCAGCGAGCTTTTATTTGTTATAGAAAGCCAAATAACGTTGTCGTGGGGTTTCTACAAAACATGTTCTGGGTTCACCACAGACTTGAGAGGCTGCAGTGTTTGCAGAGTTTCGTCATTTACTCCAGGAGCTGCGTACGGAGGAGTTTCGCTTTCAGCGGTACTTCCGCATGTCACTCGCCCAGTTTTGAGTTCCCAAACCCCAGAGCTCGCCTCTCCCCGCCTCTCTCTCTCCTCTCCCTACCTCTCTCTCTCCTCTGCCCGCCTGGAGCTGCCTCGCTCTCGCCTTGAGCCAGACTCATCGTCAGCTTGTTCTTATATTAAATAAATTACGTTTACTACACAGCATGTGTACAATAGTTTTGATACTCACTTATAAGGAACATTACTACTCAATAATATCTCTAACAACATTAATGACAATAAAACAGCAGCAGCGTAGTAGTTACATGACTTCTCTTCATGACAGAGACAGACCCGCAGCTGCTGCTGCTACTGCTCGTCTCCTGATTGGTTGATGCCCGCGTCAAAGCTCCAAAAGCTCAGCTTTGCTCAGCTTCGGTGTCAAGGGATTTTTTGACGCGGAAAGAGACGCGAACGATTCGCGTGTCAAAAGCTTCAAGTGTTGCGCGTATAACTCGCAACTTTTGAAGCTTTTGACGCGCGTCAAGTGACGCCGGGCCCCTCGGCGTCACTTGACGCGCTTCACCATTCACTTTCAATGTAAACCTGACGCTTTTGACACCGAAGTTAAGTCCGGTCTGAACGCGCCATAATGCTAACAGAGCTATGCTAGCGGCTTCTTGTGTACAGATCTTCTCCAATATGCAGCTTTGCCGCGTGTCTTTGCTCACAGACATTCCACAGGCTTTATACAACAGCAGTATGTGTTCACAGAAGTGCGCCATACGTTTTGGCGAACACACTCGAAGCAGTTGCATAAAGTCACGGGAGCATGACAACACATATATTCACAAGCACAGAGTCCCCCATTGTCAACCCTGGTTTAATCCTGGTTTAGTCCTGGTGTAGCTTCTGTTTTGGCTGTTTACAGTATGTTCAGTCTGCTCGTTCAGACCACTAATGTCCCCGTGACCACTTTGCAGCTCTCTGATTGGTCACTGCACGAACGTCCCGAGGAAAAGTTGAGCAAAGTTCATCTCCTGTGGGCGTCCATTTTTCGCTCCTGCTCCTCCCCTTTTCACTTTCCCGCCAAGTCCGTGCGGCTCTACTCAGCGGTCCGTAGGTGCGTCACCATATACTTTGCATTGAAACCCGACGCAATGCATGATCCGGTCTGAACGCGGCATTAGACTGTACACACTGACCGAAGAAGACTTTGATAAGAACTGCAAACCACCGTGTGACCCTCTATCAAAATGAAAGGGAGAATAATAAAGACGAAACACAAAAAGTCCACCTGTGTAGGCTGAGTGGATAGCACTCTCGAATCCCGGTCGGAACAGGGCCTTTCTGAGTGGAGTTTGCATGTTCTCCCCGTGTCTGCTCCGGTTTCCTCCGGGTGCTCCGGTTTCCTCTACCACTAAAAACATGCACAATGAGAGAGTGAATGGATGGTGTTGATTGGAGCTGATGGTACAGTG